GGGAAAGAGGAGGTGGTGGAAATGATAAATATAAGTTTCTGGAGAATGTGAAGAGAAAGGATAGCTGACAGGGGTCTCACGGAGCCGGTATTTTACCAGGACAACAAATGGGTAAATATAGCTAATTAAAGTGAAACATCAGTTTCTTCACACCCTGTACAACTGCAAAAAATAATCTCCAGAGGAAGTTTTGATTTTCGATCTACAGTAACAAATGGGATGGGGGCGGGGGAGAGAGAAGGTTATAAAGTGCATTTGGGATTGACAGTTGTTGGTTCTTATATTCATTTTTAGGACTGATGATTAAATTGAACAAGTCTTTGTAAGTTTGTACATTCATTTTTAGAACTGATGATTAACTAGAATAAATTTTTGTGAGTTCCTATATTCATTTTTAGGGGTGATGATTAAATTGAATACATCTCTATAAGACACCTACAGGGAAAAAAATGAAGCAATTTACCATACTCATAAAAGTTAAAAATAAAATATATACAGACATATACAATGACAATTTCAGAATTTAGATTAGCAAAACTTCATAGTTCACCTTGCATATTTATTATTTTTTTCTGATTTCCTCCAAAATGATGGCTTCTAAGTTTAAAACACTTGTAGATTTGTCAGCAACGATCATCAAATAAAAGAACATTAAAAAGGTAAAGTCTGCTCTGCAAATTTTCAAAAATAAGAAATTTTTTTTTCAAAAAAAGAAAATTTTCATGAAGTTCTACTTACCTGGAAGACTCCACAAACCAGAAACTTCCAGAGTTCTTAATTTTTTCTCCAGTTCAGCCACCCGATTCCCTAGGATTCTGGAGAAGGGGAGAGAATGACAATAGACACCAATGAACATCGATCTCATCAGCTCTCAGGGCTGTGAGCAGGATACTTGGGAAGCCCCCTAGTGCCCTAATAGAGAGAACATGTTTTGAGACTTAAGATATATGCTAAAAACTGTGTGTGTGTGTTTGCCACACACACACATACTCTATTGGAAGTACACATGAAAATATAAAGTGAATAATTTAAAATGATTTAAAAATTACTGAAATGTTGCCATTCAAGTGAATCTTCTCACACAAAGGTAGCTGCACAGCCAAACAATGATTCTACCATTGCCCAGACATCTTACATCATTTCTATTTGCTCAATGCTAAAGATGACACTTAATTTTGAATACTCTTACAAGTATCACACCCTGATTCTTTGAGGGTGGATCTGAGTTTCAGAAACAACCAAGTCTAACAAATAATGTGGAAGAACATGCTTGGTAATGTTACTTAGAGGTAATAAAATAATAAGATCTGCCTTCTTAGACCTAAACTATGGCTTACAGATGTCCATATCGTTGATATCTAGCATAATGTCTGGTAGATGGTAGGTGCTCAATAAATATATTTGATTAAATAAGTGCTTTCCTTTTTTTCATGGCTTGTAATGATCTCCGGAGAGAATTAAAAAATAGGCACATCAAAAACTTTTCAGAAATTACAGAATCACTAGAATAATTACATTGCCTTCCAAGGTGCCCATTCTGACTCACTGTGATGTATGAGATCTAGAATGTGTATTTGAACAGATTACTCTGTTTACTTGGAAGCCAAACTTTGTCTATATGCATGGAAAGACATAAATGTGGGCATATATTTTCACTCTACACAAAATTAAATATAGTTGGGAAATGATTTGATAGTCATCTGAAACTTCAATCATTTTCCATTGGCCCGGAAATTGAAAAACCAGTCTTTATCTCTGGGGGATTTTCTTGGCATTGCTGTGCTAAAATGATGTAGAAATCACCTTAATAGCCAAGTTTCAAATCCTTTCAGCAGGAGAAACCAGAACACCAGAATTGTTCTTCTAACTCTCTTTATATTCCAGACATAGCTGCACACACCCACATACGTACCGAGACATGAATATGTATATATCTGCACATATATATGTGGCTTTGAATTCATCCTTATTTTACCTGAATTCACTTGCGGCGTCTTAATTAATATTCCCTTTGAGTTCACAGAAAACTCTTTGACATGACTCTGTGTGGTTTTGTTCATCTAGGTACTTAGAGTTTTCTTTTCTTCTTTTCCTTAAGTCTTAAATTCTGCATAGTCGTTATCAATTACTTTCCATTTTCACTCCATGTGTTGGGTCTGTTCTGCTTTCATGTCTCTGACCCCTCAATAAACACCTCTTTTCGTAATCTCACTTTCAATATTTTGCTCAGACCCTCTGATCCGAGCTCCCTTTTCACCAGCTGATGGGTCTGAGATGCAATCACAGCAGTGTTCAAGTTGATGCCTGCTTCTTAGCGAGATCAGCTCATCTGTATGTGGCTGCCTCTTGGAAACGAAAGATAAGGCTTAACTCTTCTGTGGACAATGAAGGATGCCGTCAGGGCAACGTTCAAAGGCGTGGTGCAGAGACATCTGGCTGCATTTTTTCTGATGGTCCTGGATAACGCAGCCATGTCTCCCAGAAATGCACTGAGGTGAATTTGCTGGGGTCCCTAACAACCTACTCTCAGGGACCCTGCCTAAGTTTGTCAGGGCTGACTGCTTTCTTCTTTAGCCTGACAAAAGCATCTGATGCAGGGCTGGAGGTGATAAAATGGACCCAGCAGAAGTTGTGGTAGTAGTAATAGTAACAATAATGCCATCAATAACAATAACAACTACACTACAGTTAACACAAATAGCAACTAATCTTTCCTGAGTCCCAGGTCTGAGTCAGAGCCTATGCCAAACACCTACTAAATATGCATTTTTTTATCTGACTTGGCAAAAACTCCGCAGCGTTGAATGTATTTTTATCCTCCTTTTACACATGTGAACTCTTAACAGAGAGGTTAAGCAACTTGTCCAAGGACACACAGTTCATCTCAAAGCTGTGTCTTTTCCCAACCCCCAGTGTTCTCACCCACCACACTCGACTCCTCCCATTAGAAAACAGAGGCAGGGAAGTTAGTTAACTTAACCAAAACCTCACGTAGGACTCAGCTGGAGATGAGTCTGGATTTTTTAACCTATACCTCAGTTTGCCTCCCAAGTGCATGCTCTTAACCAATAACCCCCTAATAGCACTAGAAAACCAGCATTCTCACACCTAAAGCAAGTTCTCTTTAAAACCGTTCATAACTGATACATGGATGCAGCCATAGCTGGACTTGCAAAATATAACCCAACATACTTCAAATGACAGAGAGTCTTCTAACTGGCCTCACACTGAACAGATATGGCAGATGGTCCACTGATCGTGGTGTGACGCAGCCCACAGAGAGAAGGGGGTTATCTGAGTCTCAATAGCTGGCAGTGTTCATAGATGGAGACAGCAGAAGTACAAACAGGGTCCGTTCAACCAATCCAACAAGTACTGAGGCTGTAGGGGACACTGAAGAGAAGCAGACCCTGTCCCTACATTTACGGACTACAATTCTGGTGGGAGACAGACAGATGCACACAAACAGACACACACAAGTACAGTACCAGTGGAAGGCTTTAACAACAGCTGATGTTTATTAATCACTTGTTCCGTACCAGGTATTACTCTAAGCCTTGCACAAATATTATCTCCCTTAGCCCCTTGTGACAGTAGACAGAGGTAGCTCTTATTACGTTTATTAGAGGCCAACTAACTTGCCCTGGGTGACACAGCTGGTAAGTGGAGGGTCCAGAATCAAAACCCGAGCCTGGAAATACACAAGTCCTTCAGTAGAACTGTGGAGAAGACTGTGAAGATTAAATGAAAGATGAATCCAGAGCGGCTTGTAGGGACCGAGATCATGATTGATCTTGCTGCCATATGGAGAATGGTGAGACTTTTATTCATTGGCCACAAGGAGATATTGAAGGGTTGTAAGCAGAGAAACAGCACAAGGAAGTTTAGGAAAACTGGTTTGGATGTGGGCTTGAGAATGAACTGGAAGGAGGATGAGTAGAAGCAGAAAGACCAGTTAGGAGAGTGTTGTACTGGGCAGTGAGGACGATGGCTCAAAGGAGGCAGAGGGGATGCAGGGAAGCCAAAGGGATGGGGTAATAATACGGAGGAAGATGAGAAGTTGGAGGTGCCTACGGGATATCAGGGTAGACAGCTGCACAACTGGGAGACAGGAGGATCTGGGAGAGCAAAGATGAGCGTGTACGCTGGGGGTGGGTCTGCTCCCCAGCAGAGTGTGAGAAGTCAGAAGAACAGAGGGCCAGAGCACCACCCGCGGAAGGTGAGAAAGGACCAGAGAAGCACAGGTGGAGAGGGGAGAGCAGCGCCAGGGCCATGTGGGGAAGCGGAGAGAAGGTTCCCGGTGGGGCAGCAGGGTCAGTATCGTCTTATTCTAGAAGGTGGTCACACAGGATGAAAACGGCCACTAAGAAGACACGCCCCACCCTTGAGAGAGCTGTTACAAGACAGAGGAAGGGGTGAAATCCAGAATCCAAGTGACAGCGGTGGGAAAAGCTGCCTATGAGAAGCAGTGAATATAGACGACTCTTCAAGTAGTCTAGCAGGGAATCCAAGGAGACAGCCAGGGCAGTAGCCTGAGGTATAAACAGGCTTGAGAGAGGTTTTTTCTTTTTTTTCTTTTGTAGGACGGGAGAGATTTTAAAATAAAGTTTTTATTTAGCGGTGGCTTGTTTTAGGATAGGGGAGATTTCAGCATATGTCTACCCGGTAGTCTAGAAAAATCCTCCAGATGCCAGGCTTCTAGAGAGATTTTCAGTAGTAGTTTCTGATGATAGCAACATCACAGGAAATCTGCAAAGACAGAACGAACCCAGGAGCCGGCCACCACTGTGCCGCTGTCCTTGCTCTGTAGACAGCACAGCGAGCAAGAATCTCTGAGTGAGGGTCCTGGGGGGAGCCCGATCCCAAAGAGGAAAAGGTGGCCTTGGCCCCCCGCAGACTGGAGAGAACCGTGCCCCCCTACCTCCACCCCAGGGGATCTTCTTTTGAATCTCTGCTCTGATCCCCGACAGCTCCCGCTGCTTCCAAGACCTCGAACTTCCAAGGTCTTGAACTACCACTGGCCACCACTACCACTAACCTTGAACTACCACTAGCCAGGGAGTGGGGAGGGCAGTCCTAGGTTTATTCATCAGTTCTTCAAGATGGCTCCCACTGGGCCTGCTCAGTGTCGGGGGTGGGGGGGGTAGAGGGGGTGTGTGCCAGGCAGTGAAGAACCAGTAGGGGGAGCACACTCTTGCAGAACAGAGCACCTGTATCCCTACTTCTAACGCTCCAGCCAAACAAAGCTATTTTTAAATCTTAGGTACAAAAGGCTAAATCATGGGGGACAACAGCAAGCAGACCAAATGCACATTTTATTCTTAGCCCTCACTCCAACTGTTGTATAATTCGTTTCTTTCCATACCCCCAAATAAAACATTTATTGAAAGTGTGAAACTTAAGACCCTCAAAGGATTAAAAATGGCACATTAGGTACTTTATGTACTGATATGAGGCAATCTTCAAGATCTATTGTTATGAGAGAAAAAAGCAAGGTGGAAGACAGTGAAAAAAACTTTTTCTGATGAATACTAGCTACCATTTGTAAAAAAAAAAAAACAAACTAAAAAAAAAAAAAAAAAAACTATGTCTATATAAATATATATGAGCATTTATGTGTGTGTGTATAAATGTACTATGCGTTTGCTTATATATGCATCCTTGGAGAGGATACATAAAAAAGAAGGAATGGTGGTTTCTTCCAGGCAGGGGAATTGGGTGGCTGAGAGATAATAGTACTTTGGAGATATATTGTTGCTCAACCTTTTAAAACGTAAATCAACAGATGGTTCGAAATTATTAAATAGTAGTTTAAAATGGAAAGGTACATTAAAAAACTAAAGCCAGCAAAATGAAAATGTCTGTCTCTCTCAACAGAGGGCGAGAGCCCATGGCACCTGGGGACGTGCGTGGTTGCAGCGGAGTATGGGAGGAACGTATAAGGAAATCAATCTGTCACAAGAGGCGGGAGTGTCAGGCCAGCAGCTTGGGGATACTGAGTTTGGCAGGCGGTGGGACTCAGCTGGGCTTTTCGGTGGAGGGCTTTTCGGTGCCGTGATCGGCACTGTAGCTGGCAGGTGGGTCTGAGTGTGGCCGGGCAAGCAGTGGAGGAGGTGAGCCGGGGTCTAAGGATGGAGGGTTGATGGGAGGATCCTCCCGAGGACAAGGTAATGGTCTGGTGGGAAGGAAGGAGGGGCAGGTAGGAGATGCACACTGAAGGACCTTGGCAAGCGCTCAGGAAATATATATTGAGTAAGTGAATGAATGCATGAAAACCATAAAACTTAATGCCTGTTTCCATGTGAGTATTAAGGGAACAGGAACAAAGGGTTAGAGGACCTTCCATCATCCACTCATCAAATAATCACGACCACCCACTGTGGGCCCAGCACTATCCGACATACTGGGAGAGAACAGTGACCAAAGTGGACAAACATACTGGCCCTGGGACAGCTTCAACCTGAGTGAAGTGGAAGTTGGTCAAACCCAGGTATTAGGATGGTGAGCAGAGCACGTTAAATATTCTTCAAATCACGCTTTAAATGGCTGCATGATATTGTGCCTTATGCATTTACCGTCATCTTAACCATTCTCCAATTTAAAAATATTTGGGTTGTTTCCGGTTTTTTTTCACTCTTATAAATGAATCCACAGTGAACCACCTTATGTATAAATCTAGGGCATCATTCTGATTTTTTTCTTTAGGATAAATTCCTAGAAGCGGACCCTCTGGGTCAAAGGGCACAAGCATTTCAAAGTATTTAAAATGTACTAAGGGATGGATGCTCCAGACTCTAGACTCATTGAATCTGAGTGATTCAATGAGGGTGAGAAAGTGGGGTTTGGGGGTGCTGGTGACCTCCAAAGGAAGATTGCTATGGAAAATTCACAAGAGGTCTTGGGAGGTGTTGAAGCGAGGGGATCTTTTGTTCCTGCCCAGTGGCATCACTGGGGGCTTTTGCTAAAATCCAGAATCCTGATATTCCCTCCAGAAACCCCCCTAAACCTGCATTTCTAAACAAGCACCCCCTCCAGGTAATTCTAACACAGGTGCCCCCCAGAACACACTTTGAGGGGGTGGCTATTGAAGAAGTAGAGGTGGCCTCTTGTTCACAAAGATTGGAGGTGAGTGGAATTCACGGGAACCCTATGGGGGGCTCAGGAAGACCTGGGAGGTTTCTGGGTGAAGATGCAGAAGCAGGACGAGGGGCAGAAGTTGAAGAGGAGGTTGAAAGAGGAGGTCACAGGAGAGCTGGGCCCCGAAGGAGGGAGGACGGTGTGGACCAACAGGACAGTGTGTTGGTGTGCTTCCCGGAGACTGGAGGGATAGGATGGAAGGCATTGCTTTGGCAGGAGCAGTAAGCCTTGTGGCTCAGGATAGGCAGGCTTTGTTTTCTCAGTGAAAGAGGAGCTGAGGTCACCTGCTGGGAACAGACTAGGGTTTAGAAGACCTGAGGAGGTTTGAAAGAGCCCCAGTGGGTGCCTTATAGGGAGCTGGTGAGGACAGAGAAGGCTCCTGGGGACACTGCCGGGTGCAGGGGATTCTACCTGAGTAAAACAGACCTGGTACCTATTCTGGGGAGACTCCTGTTTCTTCGTCCTCCCCCGCCCCCCA